GCACACTCACTCACACACACACACACTCTCTCACAAACACACACACACACACTCTTACACACACACACACACACACACAAACAAAACAAGTCTAGATCATATTTCACTCACTATTTTTCACACATTATTTTTTTAATGATAAATAAGGAAAACTATCAGACAAAATGATATAGTAGATATCATTTCTCTACATAGATATTTTCTATATTATAGAAATAAAATTCTATTTTTAACTTTATTATGTAATTATTATATATAGTTACTAGGTTGTTGAAATAATTTTTTTAACATATTACATAATTATTTTGTATATATTTGAAAAACTATCATAAGCAAAAATATCAGGCAAAAACAATATATATTTTAGTGCATAGCATTTCACTGCATAGATATATTGTATATTTTGTATATTCCAGTTATACAATTCTATTTTTAACATTATGATGTAATTATTATGTAAAGTCAATAAAATAAAATAAAATAATTATTATAAACAATAATATATTTAATATATAATTAATATATTAATTAAATTATTTAACTAACTTAATATAATTTATTAAATTTAGTAATTATTTATATTTATTTTATTTAATTATATAATTTTATTTATTTTACATTATTTGTGACAATTTATATGGCCAAAAAGTAAGAAATTTTTTATAACTTGTAATGTAAATCAGTGAAATCTTTATAACAGATACTGACATAAAATGTCTAATATAACTATTAGTGGTCAGCATATCTCCAGTAATCTGTCTCGTTCATCTGGAGATATTACTGCAGTTATTCTGACGTTTAGATCAAGATCTGACAGCAGAAAGACACGAGAAGCGCTTCTACAATTACACTAAAAGAGCTTTTACTGGATAAAAAATCTAGAGTAGATTGAGTGACAGCAAAGTTTGAGGCTTATAAAATATGAAACAGTGACTTTATAGGTTTATAAAGCTCTCTTTATCTTGAGAAATCCAATATACAGGGAATCATGTGGTCTCTTTCATTGACCCACAGCAATATTGATCCACTCACTAGTAGTTAGTTTCTCATGGTTCACTAAATATGCATTTAGACTCGATCTACGACCGTGTTACAGGACGCTCTCAGTCTCAGGTTTAAGTGTGTTTCTGACCTGCTTCAGGAAAAGGGGCGTGTCCTCGGGTGTCTGATTGACAGCTCTCGTCACATCTGGCTCCGCCTCTTCTTCAGTCTGGTTTTGGAGGCTGTTGTGTTTTCTCAGAGTGTGTTGTGAAGGCGAGCGCATGGCTCTCCTGTCGTGTTATGATGGGACAGACTCTTGTTTCCAGCAGGCTGTCAGGATGTTCCAGAGGAAGAAGAAGAAGAAGAGGAGGCTGGAGATCTCCACTCCCAGGAACTTCGAGCACAGGGTGCACACGTCCTTCGACCCGGTGCAGGGCTGCTTCGTGGGTCTGCCGCCTCAATGGCAAAGCCTCATAGACACACTCCGGAGACCCAAACCTGTGGTGGACCCCTCCAGCGTCACGCAGGTGCAGCTCAAACCGCAGAAGGTAAAGCTCCTTCACTATCCAAACATGAAAACATGTGAGGTTTGCATGGGATATTCTTGCACTTTTTGCATGCAATTGTTATGTATTTGTTGAATGCATGCTGTCATGTTATGGTTTATTGTATATATAGATAGACTATAGTATGAATTATACATAAATTTAAACAAATAAAATGAATTATTAAAACTAGTAGCATTATTTTTATGACAATTAAGCAAAAATATAATAAGCAAATTACAGTGAATAATAGTTCTATTTTCATTATATAATTATTATATATAATCTCCACATGAATCTCACAAAAACATATCCAGATACAAAAAAAAAAAAATAATAATATATATATATATATATATAAAAATTTTTTTGTTTAATACAGTATATATATATATATATATATGCAAATTTTTTTGGTTAATTCAGAATATATATATATATATATATGCATTATTTGCAGAACTTTATTATTAAGATTATTTTTATGAAAATTAAGTAAAATATAAGGAAAAAATTACACAGTTGATATTATAGTGCGTATCATTTCACTGCATGGATATATTGTAGATTTTTGTAATAAAATTATATTATTAAGTAATTATTATATAGTCGCTATAGGTGAATCCCATAAACACATTTTCAAATCATATTTCACTTGAAAATGTAAAGAAAAAATATATTTCTTAAAGTAATTTTTCACATTATTTGCGAAACTTAACCTTATTTTTACAATTAATTAAAAATATCAGGCAAAAAACATATAGTTGATAGTACAGTGCATTGCATTTGACTGCAAAGAAATTCCTGTAATACGATACTATTTATGGAATTTAATGCATATATTTAATCTATATATAGCTTTTTTTTGCATTATTTGCAAAACTAAGTGACATTATTTTTCTGACAATTTCTGACAAAAAAATCACAATCTGCATTTTATCTTTTGATTTTGCTGTGAAATGTTATTGAGGCATACTCCTTGCAGCAGCGACTGTAATTTCTCTCAAAACGTCACACAAAGACAGGGCTTTTCCCTGAGAAAGTGTTTCAGGTTCATGTTTGCAGCTCCAGTTGTGAATAATCATTTGTCTCTGTTAAACTGGTTCTGTCGAGGGAGGTTTGGTTTATTTCCCCAGGGTTCTCACGTATCAGAAACACCATTCAAATGTTTTCATAATGTGACACTAAACGTCTCTATCCACTAATTATGACCTGACAGACCTGCTCAACGCTGCTGTTATATAATGATTTCATCAGCAGCAGCAGCATCATATATATTGCTTTCTCTTGTCCAGTTCACTAAATTCTTGCTAAATTTATTGAAATTATTTTAATGACAAAATATTATTCCAGCAATACAATGCTATTTTTAACATTAATATTGTTTGTTATATGTTCACTAGGTAGGTGAATCTCACAAAAACATTTCCAGTTCATATTTTATGAATGCATGAAGAAAGAAAGAAAGAAAGAAAGAAAGAAAGAAAGAAAGAAAGAAAGAAGAACTTATTGCTTAAAGAAATTTTTATATTTTTTAATTATATGCAAATCTTTAATTCATTGATATATTTGTACATTATTTTTATGAGAATTTATCAAAAATATCAGACAAGCATTATATAGTTGCAAAGCATTTCACTGCATAGATATATTGTATATTCCAGTAATACAACTCTATTTTTAACATTATTATGTAATTATTATATAAATAGTCACTAGGTGAATTTCACAAAAACGTGTCTAGATCATATTTCACTCCAAAAAAAAAAAATAATGCATTACAAAATTTGTATTTTTTGCATTATTTTCAAAATTTTTTGGCATTATTTTCATGACAATTAAACTAATTGTAAAAATAATTGTATAAAAATAATTGTATAAAGATCTATCAGCTGTCAATCAAACTGTAACTGTAGCTGCATGAACTGGATTTTTGGTAACTGAGTGATGAAGCACCATCTTCATCTGAGAGGCACGTCGTTGTTAAGCTAAAGTTTCCCAGTTTTCTGAGCAGGAATGTGAAGCACGACGTGTTTTTAACCAGCACTGCTGTAATTAAAGCTGTCATGCATCATGCGCATTATATAATTGCATCTGTTTCCTGCATATGACACTGATCTGAGTGTGCAGATGATCTATGACAATACAAAAATTAAAAAATATGCTCATGCTCAGGCCATCCGAGATTAGGATGAGTTTCTTTCTTCATCAGGTTTGTAGAAATGTAGCACTGCATCAGTGTCTCAGCAATGGATGCTCTGCAGTGAATGGGTGCCGTCAGAATGAGAGTCCAAACAGCTGATAAAAACATCACAATAATCCACAAGTAATCCACAGCACTCCAGTCCATCAGTTAACATCTGGAGAAGACAAAAGCTGAAACACATCCAGCATTAAGACCTTTTTAACTCAAATACGAGTTCATAATCCATAAAAAAAGTGCATCTCCTGTTGTCTCTCACATCAAAATCCAGCCGCATATTTGTTTAGAGCTGTTTTTGATCTGTGCAGATTTCTCTCCTGATTCACACCAGAACACTTTTTCACTGGAGGAAGTTGATATTTACATGTTTTCCAGGAGTGTGGGCATCCTTCAAACAGGCTTTCTGGGATGCCAGGCAGGTAAAATCCAAGTCGGAAGAGGCTGCACAAGCATATCAAGTGTAAACTGTGGCTAGTACAATAGTGCACACACACACACACAGTGCGGCTTGTTTGGACTCTCATTCTGACGGCACCCATTCACTGCAGAGCATCCATTGCTGAGACACTGATGCAGTGCTATATCTGTGTCAGTGCAGTCAAATCTTTTAAAATAGAGTCCGTTTTAATGTCATGTTGAATTCTGTCTTCCAGAGGATCGTTCGTGGCAGTTTCATCGGACATGAGGACTACATTTCTGCGGCAATCGCTCAGATGAATCGACTCTCTGTTACAAGCTCGAACTCGTTGAGGAGAACCAGCCCGTCTTTAAGGAAAAGAGCCCAGTCTCTGGGCCGTCTGGGTGAGGTAGCCGAAGGAGAGACTTATGAATATCAGGAGCTCAATGAGGCCAGTCGGAGGAACGGGCAGCCGGTGTCAGACTGGTGCTCGAGATCCCGACAGATCCAGAGCGAGAGCGGAAGCCCACGGCCCGAATCCAAGAACAGCTACACCATAAACTCCACTGAGTCTCGACCCAGAGCCAAGTCCATGTTAATGGGACAGCCGGTGCTGATGCCCCGGGACATTCTACTCGCGCCTAGAACTGCTCGTGAAGAGCCTGGTATTGATAAAAGAGATGTAAAACCCAACCAGAGGCCCGTATCGTGTCTCGACAGCACCTACAGCGAAAACGATGGAGTGAGACTGAACTCAGATCAGCCCGAGATAGAAACGCCGAGGAGGCCTCAGTCCACATACAACTTCAAGGTCAGAAACATATTTTCTAAAAACATTTTTCTAGCATTTCTATTAGGTTATGTGTGTGTGTGTGTGTGTGTGTGTGTGTGTGTGTGTGTGTGTGAGTGTATGTGTTTGTGTGTGTGTGTGTGTGTGTGTGTGTGTGTGTGTGTGTGTGTGACCAAATGTCCTCACAAGGATAGTAAAACCTGAAATTTTTTACATTATTGGGACCGGCCTGCGGGCCCCACAAGGGGAAAAAAAAAGATTTAAAATAGTAAATGATGTTTATCTGAAAGTGTAAACGTGTGTGTGTGTGTGTGTGTGGGGGTTCCTAATTTAATTTTTATTTTTTATTATTGATGTAGGCCTACTGTTTAATTTAATTTAAAATTAATAAATCTAATAAAAACTCTCAACCTAACTCTTTAAATATAAATGTTTAAGCATAAATATAAATACCAAAAATATTTGTTCCTAAAAGGTTATTTTTGAATGTTCTCTGAACATCCAGTTTTTGAAATGTTTTAAAAGCATTCTTTCTTGGTTATGTGTTAACGAAACATTCCATTTTAGAATTCTTGCAAACGTTACAGAAATGTTACTTTTGAAGGTTCTCAGAATGTTTTGAAAAAAAGTAGTTACATTTAAAAACAAATGTTTGACTAAAATATTGCACAAATTAAACATTCCTTTTTTTATACCTTTGTTTTTGTGCTAATGTTTTTAGAACACTATTAAAGACCAGATAACTCGGAGCGAACGCTCTATTAACATTACTGGAAGAACGTTTGTTCATATCTGAAAAAAGATAAAGAACATCTTAAACAGATTTCTCTGGGTTTAATAGAAGCTGAGCCTTATCATGGTTGAAAATTATTATCGTGGAAAAGATATATATCTGCATTGAGATGCTATGCACACAATTTTTTGCCTGATATTTTTGCATAATTATCACAAAATTGCAAATAATGCAAAAGATTTATAATTTATATATATAATTAAAGCAAATAAATTCATTTTTTTTCTTTTGATTTTGGAGTGAAATAAGGTCTGGATGATTTTGTGAAATTCATCTGTGACTCTATATAATAATTACATTATAATGTTAAGAATAGAATGGTATCACTGGAATATCTATGCAGTGAAATGCGATTCAGTGTAATAGCAAATGTATAATTTATACTGTTTATCTATATCTTTGACACACTGTCAACTGCTATATATATATATATATATATATATATATATATATATATAATTTTTTTAATAATTTGAATTCGTTTTAATTTGACACTTTCAATTTTTTTTACATTTTAGT